GGAGAAAGATGTGGCAGTCTACTTCCATACAGGTTTATAGCCTTGGAAACCCTATGGGGCAGTTCTACTCTGTCCTATAGGGTTGCTATGAGCGGGAATCAACTTGGCGGCAATGAGTTTTGGCTTGGTTTCATCTTTATAGGAGCAGATTGCCAGGTCTTTTCTCCTGAAGAGATGCTGGGTGAGTTTGAACTGCCGACCTTTCCGTTAGTAGCTGAAAGTTTAACCTTTGCACCACCAGGGCTCCTTAACAACCCCATAGGAAGGTAGTATTATTATCTTTATTTTACATATGAGGACATTGAGGCACAGAGAGTTTAAGTGACTTAATTGATATCACACAGGTGGTAAGAGGCACAGCAGGGATTTGAACCCAGGTATCTGACTTGAAGTTCTGTGTTTTTAACCACTTTGCTATACTGCTATCATGTTATCCCAGAAAAATCTGGGAAGCAAAGAAGAGACAGAACTAATTTTACACTCAGGGCTAAGTGGTGCAGAGCTGAAGGTATCCCCAGCATTGATGAAGATGGTTCTAAAGGTGATGGAGGAAAAGCAAACAGCAGAAGTTCAGAGCTGGAAGTAGTGCTGGTCTCCCCTTTGCCAAATCCTCTGTGGGGATGGGCAGGCCTCATAGTACTTTCTTGTGGTTATTAAAGAGTGTGTCCGGAAATCTGGAGGCATTAGAGAGTTCCAGTTACATCTAGACCACCCGACGGTGCCTTTTGAGTAGGGTTCAAAAATGATGAGCTAAAGCCTTGTTTCTTTGTTATCAAAAAGGAGGAAAAGGAAGTTGCATCCCTGGCAGCAGGCCGGAAGGGGGAAAGCATGCTGCGGGGGCTCATTGTTCCTGCTTGCTAAAGGGGGCATCACAGGATTCTGGAGAAAGCTCCAGAAGGCCCCTCATCTTCCTTTCTATGAACAATTGACCAGAAGGAAGCCGGGACACTAGGCCCCTGGACTTCCCCACAGGAAACCCAGGTCCCACTAGGGCCTCCTGTTTCCCGACCCTTACTGGCCCTGGCTAGGTTCCAGATGAACTACGCAGACTTGTTGGTTAACATATGCCAGAAAGGGGCAAGTGCAAGCTCATAGAGATTTTTTAAATTTTAACTTAGTCGCTTTTAGGAATTTAAAAAAAATTTATGGGTCAAGTTGATCAGAGGGGTGCTACAAAAAAGAAAAAAAAACATAATCTGTTGCTGTTGAGTCGATTCCGACTCATAGTGACCCTATAGGACAGAGTAGAACTGCCCCATAGGGTTTCCAAGGAGCGGCTGGTGGATTCGAACTGCAGACCTCTTGGGTAGCAGCTGAGCTCTTAACTATTGCACCACCAGGCTCCACTAGAGGGGTGTTAGAGGTATTTTATGTCACATTTACTCTGAACCTACTATGTGCCTGATACTCCACTCGGCACTGAGAGAACAGGAAAGAATCGGCCCCTTGGTAGTCTTTGGGGATTATGAGCTACTTCATTATTTTCCTGAACCCTGTTTCTCATCATTAACATAGGGACAATAATACCTACCTGATCCAAACACAAAACCAAACCCACTGCCATCAAGTTGATTCCAACTCATAGCAACCCTATAGGACAGAGTAGAGCTGCATAGGTTTTGCAAGGCTGTAAATCTTTATGGAAGCAAACTGCCACATCTTTCTCCTGCCGATCGGCTGCTGGGTTCAAACTGCTAAACATTCGGTTAGCATACAAGAACTTTAATCACTGTGCCACCAGGGCTCCTACCTACCTGATGTTGTTGTTAGGTGCTGTTGAGTCGGTCCCAACTCACAGCAACCTGACTCACAGTGACCCTATCCACAACAGAACGAAACACTGCCCAGTCCTATGCCATCCTCACAATTGTTGCTGTGCTTAAGCCCATTGTTGCAGCCCCTGTGTCAGTCCATCTCCTTGAAGGTCTTCCTCTTTTTCGCTGACCCTGTACTTTACCAAGTACGATGTCCTTCTCCAGGGACTGATCCCTCCTGATAATATGTCCAAAGTATGCAAGATGTAGACTCGCCATCCTTGCTTCTAAGAAGCATTCTGGCTGTACGTCTTCCAAGACAGATTTATTTGTTCTTTTGTCAGTTCATGGTATATTCAATTTTCTTCGCCAACACCACAATTCAAAGGCATAAATTCTTCTTCGGTCTTCCTTATTCATCGTCCAGCTTTCACATGCATATGAGGCAATTGAAAACACTATGGCCTGGGTCAGGTGAACCTTAGTCCTCAAGGTGACATCTTTGCTTTTCAACACTTTAAAGAGGTCTTTTGCAGCAGATTTGCCCAATGCAATTCGTCTGTTGCTTTCCTAACTGCTGCTTCCGTGGGTGTTGATTGTGGATCCAAGTAAAATGAAATCCTTGACAACTTCAATCTTTTCTCCATTTATCATGATGTGGCTTATGGTCCAGTTGTGAGGATTTTTGTTTTCTTTATGTATTACAGGTGCAATCCATATTGAAGGTTGTGGACTTTGATGTTCATCACTAAGTGTTTCAAGTCCTCTTCACTTTCAGCAAGCAAGGTTGTGTCATCTGCATAACGCAGGTCGTGAATGAATCTTCCTCCAATCCTGATGCCTCATTCTTCTTCATATAGTCCAGCTTCTTGGATTATTTGCTCAGTATACAGATTGAATAGGTATGGTGAAAGGATGCAACTCTGACACACACCTTTCCTAACTTTAAACCATGCAGTATCCCCTTGTTCTGTTCGAATTACTGCCTCTTGATCTATGTACAGGTTCCTCAGGGGCATAATTAAGTGTTCTGGAATTCCCATTTTTTGAGAAAAGTTGTCTATAATTTGTTATGATCCACACAGTTGAATGCCTTTGCATAGTCAGTAAAACACAGGCAAACATCTTTCTGGTATTCTCTGCTTTCAACCAGGATCCATCTGATGTCAGCAATGATATCCGGGGTTCCACGCCCTCTTCTAAATTCAGCTTGAATTGCTGGCAGTTCCCTACTGATGTACTGCCGCCGCTTTTAATGATCTTCAGCAAAATTTTACTCACGTGTGATATTAATGACGTTGTTCGATGATTTCCACATTCAGTTGGTCACCTTTCTTGGGAACAGGCATAAATATGTATCTCTTTCAGTCAGTTGGCCAGGTAGCTGTCTTCCAAATTTCTTGGCATAGACGAGTGAGCACTTCCAATGCTGCATCCGTTTGTTGAAACATCTCAATTGGTATTCCATCAATTCCTGGAGCCTTGTTTTTCGCCAGTGCCTTCAGTGCAGTTTGGACTTCTTCCTTCATTACCATTGGCTCCTGATCATAAGCTACCTCCTGAAATGGTTGAAAATCGACCAATTCTTTTTGGTATCATGACTCTGTGTATTCCTTCCATCCTCTTCTGATGCTTCCTGCAGTGTTTAATATTTTCCCTGTAGAATCCTTCAGTATTGCAACTCGAGGCTTCAATTTTTTTCTTCAATTCTTTCAGCTTGAGAAATTCTGAGTGTGTTCTTCCCTTTTGGTTTTCTATCTCCAGGTCTTCATGCATGTCATCATAATACTTTACTTTGTCTTCTCCAGCCGCCCTTTGGCATCTTCTGTTCAGCTCTTTTACTTCATCAGTTTTTCCTTTTGCTTTAGCTACTCTACATTCAAAAGCAAGTTTCGGAGTCTCTTCTAACATCCATTTTGGTCCTTTCTTTCTCTGCTGTCTTTTTAATAACCTCTTGCTTTCTTCATGTATGATGTCCTTGATGTCATTCCACAACTCATCTGGTCTTCGGTCAGTAGTGTTCAACACGTCAAATCTATTCTTGAGATGGTCTCTAAATTCAGGTGAGATATACTCAAGGTTGTAATTTTGGCTCTTGCGGACGTGTTCTGATTTTCTTCAGCTTCAACTTGAACTTGCATATGAACAATTGATGGTCTGATCCACACTTGGCCCCAGGCCTTGTTTTGACTGATGATATTGAGCTTTTCCATCGTCTCTTTCCACAGATGTAGTCAATCTGATTCCTGTGTATTCCATCCGTTGAGGTCTATGTATATAATCGCCATTTATGTTGTTGAAAAAAAGTATTTGCAATGAAGAAGTCATTGGTCTTGTGAAATTCTGTCACTCGATCTCTGGCATCATTTCTAGCACCAAGGCCATATTTTCCAACTACTAGTCCTTCTTCTTTGTTTCCATCTTTCGCATTTCAATCACCAGTTATTATCAGTGCATCTTGATTGTATGTTTGCTCCATTTCAGACAGCAGAAGTGGGTAAAAATCTTCAATTTCCTCATCTTTGGCCTTAGTGGTTGGTGCGTAAATTTGAATAACAGTCATATCAACTGGTCTTCCTTGTAGGCATATGTATGTTACGCTATCACTGACAACGCTGTACTTCAGCATAGATCTTGAAATGTTCTTTTTGATGATGAATGCAATGCCATTCCTTTTCAAGTTGTCATTCCTGGCATAGTAGACCATATGATTGTCTGATTCAAAATGGCCAATACCAGTCCATTTCAGCTCACTAATGCCTAGGATATCAATGTTCATGCATTCCATTTCATTTTTGACAATTTCCAATTTTCCTAGACTCATAGTTTGTACATTCCACATTCTGATTATCAGAGGATGTTTGCAGCCTTTTCTTTTCATTCTGAGTCGTGCCAAATCAGCAAATGAAGGTCCCAAAAACTTGACTCTATCCACGTCATTAAAGTCAACTCTACTTTGAGGAGGCAGCTCTTCCCCAGTCATATTTTGAGTGCCTTCCAACCGGAGGGGCTCATCTTCCAGCACTACGTCAGACAGTGTTCCACTGCTATTTATAAGGTTTTCACTAGCTAATTCTTTTCAGAAGTAGACCGCCAGGTCCTTCTTTCTAGTCTGTCTTAGTCTTCAAGCTCCACTGAAACTTGTCTGCCATGGTTAACCCTGTTGGTATTTGAGTATCAGTGGCATAGCTTCCAGCATCACAACAACACACAAGCCCCCATAGTACGACAAACTAACAGATGTGTGGGGGTGTAGCTCAGTAGTAGAGCACATGCTTTGCATGTATGAGGTCCCGGGTTCAATCCCTGGCACTTCCATGGCTACTACACCTACCTGATAGGTGTGTCATTATATTATTAAATATTAATCCTATGTGAAGGCATCTACCACTACATCTGAAACACAGAAATCTCCTTGAATTTTGCATCTATTAATAGTTTTTAATTATTCTATTATCAATGGTTATTCACTGGAAAATACATAAGAAAAGTCCCAGCTCACTAAGAGCTTACTTTCAGTTGTGGCTGTGACACATACGTGTGAAATGATTCATTTGCCATGCAAGACAATACCGAATATCTACCAGCTCAAATGGGCAAAGTGGACAAAAGTGCCCAGAAGTTCCCATAAGGGAAATATCAGTTGGTCAATCCCATGGAAGAGGCAGGACTTGTGATAGTTGGAGAAGGATCAAGATTTGGAGGTAAGGCACAGCACTCCAGGCTGGGGGTATCAGGCCCTCTTCAATTTGTATTCTGCATTATACTCTCCAAGTGCACAGCCATAGAGTCTTTTATACATACCTCGTCTGCCCTATCAAATAGGAACAACAGCTACAATGAGATCTATTTTATGGACAGGAAAACTAAAACCCAGAGAAAGCCATGCAGTTAGCCAACGTTGGCTTGGCGTTGTCAAGGAGTACTATGGGGCAAAAATTGTGAGGTTAAGGGGGCAGGCCTTTCTAATACACCTACAGGAATAAAGTAAAAGACTAATCTGGCAATTGTTGTAGCAACAACTACCATAATAGTAACCATGACAACAACAAATTATTTGTGGTGCGATGGATTGCTTTTATATGGCTTTTCTTGCCTTGGTCTTGTAACTCCCACTAAAAAATTGGGTGGGACTATGCAAATAAGGTGCTTGCGGCCCACCAAGGGGTTTGGACAGCTTGCTGATAATACAAATAAGGTGCATGAAATCCTTGTGGAGATGTGATCATGCAAATAAGATGTATGGAACCCTAATGAGGGGATTGGTCAGTTTTCTCATCATGCTAGGCTTAAAATGATCCAGCCCAGAGGTGAAAAGGGGGGAACCACACCACCAAGAAAGAACAGCTAGAAGTGGAGCTCATCCTTTGGACTCAAGATTCCTGTGCTGAGAATGATCTAAATCCAGGAGACAGAAAGAAAGGGTGTAACACCAGAAACAGCAAGAGACAACAAGAAGCAATGGCAGAGAAATGGCGGTAGCAAAGGCAGCAGAACCAGAAGACTGACAGGAGCCAGCATAGTGGGCTTCCTGGCCCACAGAGGAGTGAGAACACTCAGTGCCTCTGGACACTTGTTGGTGGAGCTAAAGAGTTTTGTAACACTTGTCCAAGCAGGGCAGAGGCCAGGCCGGCCCAAGAGGCCTGAGGGGCCAAGGGCCAAGGAGAGGCATGCCTCCAGGTATGGCTGAGAAGAGGCTGTCCTGATCAAAGAACAGGACAAAGATCAAAGAACTATATCCTCAGTCATTTCTAATCCTGAATTTTAACCTGTTACTTCCCTAATAAACCCATAACTGTGAGTAAGGTCTGTGAGTTCTGTGTGGCCATTGCAAGGAATTATCAAACCCATCAGAGAAGTAGAGAGTGCCATGGGAGGGACTTCTGATGTCAGAATTGGTAAAAAGATTGGAGAAAGGAGGTATGTCTGACCTCCATTTCATAGAAATCAGCCTTCAGCTGTTGATCTTGATTCTCCTTCCCCCTTGTGAAGTTACAGGAGGTCAGATGCCCCTGCTATACCTTTTTACGCTATTAATATTTACTAAGCACTTGTTTTATGCCAAGCATTATGGGAAGTACTAAATGTGTATTGATTCATTTGATTCTCATAATAAAATAGGTATAATTATTATTATTATCTCCGTTTTACAGAGGCTTGGAGAAGTTCAAAAACTTTTCCCAAGGTTGCTGGGCTCTTAACTGGCAGGGCCAGCTTCAAACCCAGCTCTGTCCACCCTAAAGCTCAGGCCCTGAACCACCATAGGAACTGCCTCCAGAGTCCTGCAGAGATCACTTCCTTCTGGAGTATTTTAGAAAGGGAGTCATGTAAGGATCATTTAACTTGATCAGATTCTCTTATGGCTCCATTTAAGAGAGACAGTGAATCACAGAGGTTCATTTCTCTTGTGCAGGGTGGAGGGCAGCTTCCGCATCCCCTACACCCACCTGCTCTTCTTCAGGTTAAGCCCACTCTGTTCCCCTTGACAGGGCTTCCACGCCCCTCACCTTCTCAACCCATGTCTTCAGCAATAATCTAGCTGGTCCATGTCTGTCTTAGAACCCAGCACCCGGAAATCAAGCCCTCAATGTGGCCTCACTGGTGCAAAGAACAGTGGGACTCTCCCCTCTGTTAATCAGAAAATCATACTTTCATTACCATCATCTCAGACTACGGTAGGCTTTTAGCAACTGCTGACTTCTCTGGAGCTTGTGGTCAACTAAAATCCCCTTAAATCAAGTCAAAACTGTCCCACTCCACAGGCAAAGGCAGCCCTATACAGTTGGGGATTCCCAATGCTTAATTATGTCATCTTAGGAACTTGGAAAAGAAATTACAAAAGCAATACATGTGTTCCATTTCAAATCAAACAAAACAGAAATGAATAAAGAAAAAGTGAATAACCTCCCTGTTCTGCATCCCACCCTTTCTCTCTCTAGAGTCATCAATATTAACGGTTTGGAACCTATCCTTAAAAAACATGTATGCAAGATAGATAGATAGATAGGTAGGAAGGTAGGGAGGTAGGTAGGTAAGTAATAAACAGACAGCTAGATAGATAATAGAGGCTGCTGTCAAGTCAACTGACTCATGGCAACCTTATGTACCACAGAACAAAACTTTGCCCAGACCAGCATCATCCTCATAATTGCCAGTATATTCAAGTCCATCGTTGCAGCTATTGTATCAGTTCATCTCCCTGAGGGTCTCCCTCACCCTTGCTGGCCCTGTACTTCACCAAACATGATGTCCTCCTCCAGTGATTGATCCCTCCTGATGACATGTCTAAAGTGAGTGAGTCAGACAATGTTCTGTTGTGAGCCACAAGGTTTTCATTGACCAATTTTTGGAACTGGATCGCCAGGCCTTTCTTCCTAGTCTGTCTTAGTATGGAAGCTCCACTGAAACCTGTCCACCCTGGGTAACCCTGCTGGCATTTGGAATACCAGTGGCGTAGCTTCCAGCATCAAAGCAACACAAAAGCCACCATAGTATGACAAAATGACAGATGGGTAGTGGATATGCAATATACAAGGGTTCTATTCTTTCCTTTTCAAAATTGATATCATACTCTATACCAGGTATCAGTAAACTATGGCCTGTAGTCTACATCTGACCATTACCTGTTTTTGTAAAGTTTTATTGGAAAACAGCCACCACAACTCATTTACAAATAGTTGCAACAGAGACCATACAACCCGCAAAACCTAAAATATTTACTATTTGGCCGTTGTTTTAGTTATCTAGTTCTTCCATAAAAGAAATACCACAAGTGGATGGCTTTAACAGAAATTTATTCTCTCAGTTTAGGAGACTAGACATCCAAATTCAGGGCACCAGCTCCAGGGGAAGGCTTTTTCTCTCTGTCAGCTCTGGGGGAAGGTCCTTGTCATTGGTCTTCCCCTGGTCTAGGAGATTCTCAGCACAGGGACCCCAGATCCAAAGAATGTGCTTCGTATCTCAAAAGAAATTGACTCAAGATACAACCTAACCCTGTAGATTGAGTCCTGCCTCATGAACATAGCTGCCTCTAATCCTGCCTCTCGTTAACATCACAGAGGTTAGGATTTACAACACATAGGATAATCACATCAGATCACAAAATGGTAGACAACCCACAGTACTGGGAATCATGGTCTAGCCTAGTTGACACACAGTTTTGGGGGACACAATTCAATCCGTAACAGCCCTTGACAAAAAAAGTTTGCCCACCCTTGCTCTGTGCACTCCAATCCAACCTGGTTTTTAAGATGTATACAGACACTCCACAGGTCACTGTATGTAAATCTAACATTCTTTTTAAAAGATACCTAATATTTCATAATATGGATTGTGCCACAATTTATTATAGAATTTCACTAATGATGGACACTGGGGTTGTTTACAGGTTTCTGCCGCTATGGGCAATGCTATAGTGAACAGCTATTTTTAAATCCTTCAGAAGAAACTAGATATAATGCAGAGATCCCCAAGGCTATCAAGAGAAACACAGCCCTAACCTCAAACATGATGCTCCCACTGCACCAAAAAGCCTCTTTGAGCAGCAGCCGCAGCCAGCCCTGGGTACTACCAGGCTCCCGTGGGAGGAATTAAACTTTTAGAAAAAAGAGTATGTCTCCAAGCAGAAATCTTGTCCTGATAGATCCACCTGGATGCTTCCCAGCTTTCTGCTGTGCCACAGAGCTTTCCCAAGCCCTGAGCATCTGCTGTCTGTCGGCTGCTGCAGCCACCAAACCAAAAGCAAACCCGTTCAGTCAGTTCCGACTCATGGAGACCCCACGTGTTGCAGAGCAAAACTGCACTTCACAGCGTTTTCAGAGGTGATCTTCTGGAAATAGATTGCCAGGCCTCTCTTCCGAAGTGCCTCAAACCGCCAGTCTTTCAGTTAGTAGCTGTATTAGTTATCTAGTGCAGCTATAACAGAAATACCACAAGTCAGTGGCTTTAACAAACAGTAATTTATTTTTTCACAGTTGAGGAGGCTAGAAGTCTGAATTCAGGGTGCTTACTCTAGGCAGAGTCATATCTACTGAAAGTAGCTCCTACAGCAAGCACTAAAATTGTACTCCTATAAGGCCGTAAGGAGGGTAACGAGCACCCAGGGGCAATCTCTATGTTGTGCACCACCCCCTCATTTTCAAGATGAATAGACGTTGATAGCAGCAACAGGTCAGCAGGAACGCCTTCCCTGCTCTTGTCCAGCTGCCTCAGTCAGGTGCCTTTCATATTTGTGGTGCCTCGGAATGTCATTCCCCACCTCCTGTAGCACCCCCTTGGACATGCACCTGGGGGCAAGTTCCCTCCCGCCATTCCCCTCC